CCTCAGAAAATGTGCACCATTGCATTACACCTCCTGATTTGTCACAAACAATTGTGAAATTGTGGGTGCGTAAACCTTAAAATGTCACACTCCCAGTTAGGCTTACCTCTCGTGATTGGTTTGCTTCCAAATTCTATACGCATGGCATTGTAGCAGGTACGAAAATTTCCCAACTTGTGCTTTTGGAATACCGCATCTGATTCCAAAACAGCTTTCGGTGACTCACCTCCGGTGACCTCCCCCTTCTCAAACTTCGAACGCAGCATTCGCACAGCCAGTGACTTCTTGGTCAATCGTCCGGTGGGGGGGGTGGGTGTTTGGGGGGCAAAGGGGGGGGGGGGGGAGATTAGGGATCAAGGCGCAATTGTGCGCACCTCGGTATGAAATTCGGTGGCATTTGTTGGATGGCGCTGGCGGCGGCTGTTGAGGGCCTCGCTCGGTTGGGCGTCCGTCAGGCCAATACGAGATCACCGTCCGCAAATGCTCGCGCAAATACGCAAATACAGTACCGGGCACAGGGGGTACACCGTTTTAGTGCACATACGTGCGAGGTCTCCAGATGTGCGCTATACCGGGATGTGCGCACCATTGAATAACAACAGAAAAGAGCCTTTAGAATGGTATTTATTGCTTTGGGCCCACTACTAGTCCTTTGTAACGAAATAGTCCTGCATAACGGACTGACAGCGTGGCTTTTTCTTGTATAGTGCTCTGAAAAGCAAGTTCTTGGCACCCCTTAAATGAAGAACAGCATCGGGCGCGTCTGTGGCCGCGGCACTTGCTTCAAGTATAGAAAAAGAGTTTGCAATCTCTGCAAATGTAGCAGACACAGCCTTATTTCCACAAGTCCTAACAGTAGTCTCACCAGTAGATTCCTCATCTATATCTGTAGCAACATGAATCTCTTCGGTCAAGGCCGCTTCAACGTCCTCAATTACTTCTGCTTGTAAAGCCTCACGCACTTCCGAAATTGCCTCAACCTCCACCCATGAACGTGCACTCTTCGCCGTTAGGCTGCCAATCTCCGATGCTTCCCTTATGATATCAACATTTTTGCTCTCTACAGTTTTCGCGCTCAAGGAAATACTGAGCATCCCGGAGATAAGTACGGCAGTGTCTGCTTCTACAGAGGTAATGTTGCTTTTTCCCACCAGGTTCCTCAGCTCGGCTTCCATAAAGGGAGGAAGTACCTGAGCTTTGAGCCAGCAGCGTGCTGCAGTAACAGATGATAAGTGTTGCTGATCTTCGCGAAGTAACTCCGCTGCGTCTAAGATATGAGGAGGATGCCCCTCCATTATTCCTTTTATTCTTTTATGTAACTGGCCGACCCCTCCCGTTGCCAAAAGGTACTGTTTAGATATTTATCATACTTTTTCGTGCACCCCGGACCTATGTGCGCAAAACCAGGTCATGCGTTAAATTGGTGTGCGCTAAAACGGGGCACCCCCTGTACTGTACGTCCAACCCCTTCTACGCCACACGTGTGCCCCGCCTCCTGTTCTCCTGCCTCCCGCTGCGCACCTCATCTCCCCCCGCGCCCACCTCCCCCGCCGCAATAAGTATCTTGAGGAAATCTACGCTTACCTGGCTAAGTTTCCCGGAGGTGGTTCACTGGAACGGTGAACA